ACACACACACTCTCTCTCTCACACACACACACACACATACACACACACACCAGTGAACTCTTGATGAATCAGGACTTTGTTTGGCTGTAAGGAAACACTGTACTACTATATTAGCGTGTTTGATGCAACTTTATTCATGCTCTCAACAGACATGTTTGTTATAGGTTACAATACACAGCTGCTTCACATAAACTTTGCAAGTTGAAAGCTTTGAAAGCGTGACAGTAGACCTACATTCAGTGATTATTGTCAAATCCTTTTATTGCAGCTGTCTACAAGGAGTTCAGTTGTGGAGAGCTTTAATGAAGTGGAAAAAACTGTCTGATTTGTACACTGTGTGTCACATTAGAAATCGCTGCTGCTACAAACATTCACACTCTTGTGTCTTGTGTTTGCAGGATCTGGTTCACTCTCAGGCTAAACAGGAAGCAGTCATGCTACATGAGAAACTACTGGAGCTGGAGAAACGTAGAGAAACCATGCTGGCGGAAGACAGGAACATGGGTTCTCCACAAGAGGAGCGAGAACGCCTCTTTAAACAGGTCTCTATCCACCTTATTTTTCAACGCGGAAGTAAGCCGTTTTCTGTCAATGTGCGAGACTTCCGGTTCATCAACCACTGCAGGGAAATAAGGAGAAGAATAAAAAAGTGCATTAAATGGTAAAACGGTTTGCACTACAAACCAGTGTGTTCATAATTAGGATAATACATTAAAATAATATGGTAAGACACACCAGTTTGAAATATCAAGCCACAAAACGAGGTGTTTTGTACAGCTAAAAATAGCGGGTGACACCGGAAGCCAGACACTTTAAATTTACAAATGGCCATGCCCTCTCTTACAGGAAAAATAAGATGGATATGATTTATTTATATTTTTGCATTTAAATATTTCAAGTGACTTTACTTCATGATTGTTCTTTTGCTGGTTTTAGGTGAAAGAAAACAACCAGGAAATAGCCAGCATGGAACGACAGTATGTATTTCTAAAACATATGAATGTATATGATGTATGTTCACTCACAGTTGCTTAGTAGATGCACATTATTGCACTGAAAATGCCCATTTGTTTTTTGCCATTTTTGTATCAGTTTATCATATTTATTTGTGCATCTTATGATCGATACATAAAGAAACCCATAATTAACATCCTGTTTTATGTAGGCTCTCCGAGGTAGGTGAGAAAATTAGCCATCTCACTGAAGAGATTCGACAACCAGATGCTGACATGGAGGAACATCAAGGTGCTGTTTTCTATATGTTCATGTGATTGGGATGATCATAGTCTGTGCTGATTTAGAGAGAATGTAATGGTGAAGGGGAAACTAGTAGATGACACAAACCTGATTCAAGCTCTGGTGGCCCATCTAAGCATCACATTTTTATTTTAATGAAACTGTTTACAGTTGCTACACTTATATCAGTATCTAATGTACGTCTCAAAAATAGTCTTGCATTGTGCGTTGCATTTCAATGAAATATTGTTAATTTTAAACCTAAAAATATTTGATCAAAATTAATGTATTTGTCAGATTGGTCACACTCCCTTTATCGGATGAGGTTTGTTCACACAGTCAGTGAAGCATTTGAAGTTTAATGGCAATTAAAATTAATGTTTTGATCATGTACAAGGCGAGACAGTTGTGTGTGTGTGTGTCGGTGTGTGTGTGTGAGAGAGAGAGTGTGTGTTATAGTGTGTGTGTGTGTGTGTGTGTGTGTGTGTGTGTGTCCACTCACCACCTCAAACATCTCCTTCCTACTCATCAGAGTGTCCAGTTCCTCTTGAAGGGAATCCAGCTCCTGGATGCAGATGAGAGGAGACAGCGGATGCGTTGTGACAGTGAATAACAGTCGACTTGGAATTACCCTCACAAATCATTCACAGACTTCAATTTAATGCTTAGAGTTAATAGTGAAGCTGTTAACTGAATAAACTAGACTTTATGTGGACCTGCGTCACTTATTGATTTTTGTTTTTAGCATTAACATCCATTGGGCATACACTTTTATCCAAAGTGACTTGGATAAGTGACTAGTTATTTTACCAGTTCTTGCATTGCCTGGGATTCAAAGCTATGACACTGGTGTCACTAATGCCCGCCATGTTTAACTGTTCATATACGACTGTCAAATATTAATCTGGGGATACAACTGAAAACATCCTTTAAAAAATAAACTGAGGAAGTTAAATGCCAGTTTTTTTTCCTTTTATTTTCTTCTCTCCCCAAGCCAGTAAAGTGCAATCTGCTCACTTTTGCAAAAAACAAAACAAAACAAAAAACAACACACACACACACACACACACACACACACACACACACACACACACACACACAACACACACACACACACACAAAAAAACATTTATCAAAGTAACAAAAACAAAGAAAATCAACAATGGGTTAGGTACTACAATGATTCAATAACTCGCTGAACACCATTTACAGTCATATAGCATGAATAAATAATAAAAAGAATTATAACAAATAAATAATAAAAATCATTTCCTCAAATACACAAATATAAGCAACACAACGCAACATACTAACATCGTTAGTAGTCCAGAGTAGTCCAAAATACCAAATTCCACCCATTTCCCACCATACTTGGTATCTTCCACTCACATAATGCATCACAGAGAATTTATAAAAATACTAACAAAAGTTATTTCAAGACTTTTAACAAGTCAAGATGGTCAATCTAGGTGAGTCAACAGTTTCTTTCAAGCAATATAAATGAAATGTCTATTTGTTTAGTGCTCAGGTGGTCAGTCTGAGACACCACAGATAGTTGAGAGACCATATCTTTATCCAAAGGATGTTAAAGAAAGGGAATCCGGGGAACGGAGAGACAATGACACATTAGTGCCTTGCATTCTGCTGATACAGTTAGCACACCAGTCCTTAGTGTGGTATTACTGGGGGAATGAGACAGACCCTAGCTCTTCATTGGTGGCTTTCATCTCAGTGTACTTGGCCTGTTTATCAGCTGACATCTTCTGAATTATGTTTTGGGCAGCCTGTTTCTCTTGGACTATATCATCCTCCACAGTTCTGATCATATCCTCTTTCCTGAGAAAGAAAGAGAAAGTTGTTTGTATAGACCATAATCATCCATCCTCATAACACTGAATCTGTCTGCAGCTTTCATCATCATTCAGCATCAGATCCTCCTATCCATCCTCTGGACACTGGGAATCACAGGAACCACACTCCTCTGGATGTACAGGTATATTCTTCAGGGAATCCAGAAGAGGAGCAGTGTTTTCACACCTAGTTCGCTTGCTTCTCGGAGTGGTTCAGCTTGTATATGTGAACAAACCAAGTGATCTCGGACCATCTAAATGGTTTGTTTGTGGTTCAATTTCCTCGTGATTTGTCAAAGCAATGAGGTGTCAGTACGTTTTCTATGGACCAACATAACAGAAATGCTTGAGGTTTAACTAAGCAGTTTATCATTTGTATGTTTTTTTTTGTATATATAGATTTTTTTATTATTATTATTATTTACCAATGTAATTCCAGATGTTTTAGACTCTTGTTACATTTCTCAAAAATAAATAAATAAATAGGTAAATAGACCAACTGTTAATTCTAACAATACAAAATAATTATGTTGTATTTATATAATCTATGGCTAGCTGTGCATTAAATGATTTTAATGAATGATGTGAAGGCAAAGAAGCACCCGACGCACAGCAGAGATCTAGCACTCTGCCCACTTTAAATCAGACACAGAGATGAAGTACTGCGGTGAGATCACATTTATTGGAATGCAAGAATTATAGCATTGATTTAGATTAATTATTGAGAGAGGGGGGGTGGGGGGGATGAAAGTTGCGTATGTGATTTGCATCTGTGTGTCTCACTCCGCAAACAGTGAAGCTGTGAGTTTAGTTTCCTCAGTTTCTATGCTGTGCTCCTTTCTGTGCATGTGCAGCATGATCTCCGATCTCTGTGTGTGACTGATGAGTGTCTGTGTGTGGGTTTGTGTGCGTCAATGAAAGCAGCGCTTTAATACAGAACGGTGATTAAACTGACTTTGAACTACCTGTGCATTACAGCCAATCAGAATTGAGTATTCAGACAGACCATGATATAATATTATAGAATTCTTTAGGAAAAACAATAACTACTAAAACTGAACAATGAAATACAGCTTACCTTGAATTAAAAACAAAAAAAAAAGTATCTTATCTTATCTGAGAAAAGAAGGTTGAATTAACTTTATACTTAATGTTCCCTTTTAAGATTAAATTTGACTGAAATGCATTGATAAAACTCTGTGAATGTCTTGACCGGAGATATGATCAGGGATTTCCAGCTCATCCTCACCCTCTTCCCTTTCCACTTCATCTTTTCCAGTAGGTCAGACTCCAGCATTTCCCTGCTGCACAGAGAGCTGGATTCTGAGTTCTTATGAAGTTGTGGTGTGATCACGAAAGGGTTTAAGATCACTACAGTGCTCAAGAGGACCAAACAAAGAAACAGGTTCTCTTTTGAGTCCTTTATACTGTTAACACCAAAAGGACTGAGGTTACTTTAAGTGAACTGGGTTTGGATCTTTTCAAACAAACTTGTGACTTTTCCTGGTATACACAACATCACTATTTATCCAGGCACGTGGTGTTTCCTATCACTTGTGCTGATGACACACATCTCTACTTCTCCAGGCTGATGATCCTACAGTAACTGCATGAATCTTGACTTGGAAAAAAAAATCTCCAATGGTTCCCATTTTCCCATGTAATGAAAACTGATCATCTTACTGTACCTTCCCAGTCACCCCAGCACAGCCAGTAAGATCAGGGTAGTGTTTGAGGTCCAACTGAACTTCACAGACAGAGGTCATGCACATCTGTGTTACAACTTCAAGAAAATCAGGTCGTGTTACACAACTCCTTGTCCACATTCTCTGTCCTGAACTACCTGAACACACTTGAGCCTAAAGAGCGCAATTAAGCACATCTCTGTACACCTCAAAAAAACTATAACAGTAACCACAATAAAGAACTTTGCTGTCAATAATAATCCAAATTTAGACAATTTACAGTTCCATGGCAACTTTTCTAAACAAATTTAGATAATTATTTCAGTTTATTAAAAAGCTCTAGAATATACCAGAGACTAAAGATTATTTTCATGATTGTATTAAATCAAGAGAGACTAAAGATTATTTTCATGATTGTATTAAGAAACTTTGAGACTGTACCAAAGTTCACTTCGTGAATTTGACAGACGTTTATCCAAGGCAGCTTACATTGCATTTAAGGTATACATTTTTATCAGTTCATGCATTCCCTGGGAATGGAACCCATGACCTTGGATTTGCTATTGGCGTGCTCTACTGCTTGAGATACAGGAACAGCACAATAAAACTCATAGTTCACTATCTTAAGTCAGTGACTGTGGTCAATCTTTAGCCAGTATTTTTATTACAGAGAGCAAAGGTTTGTCTCTGTCTGAGCTCTTTTAAGCATGAGTTGACATAGACTATTACACAGCACTCAAGGGTAAGTGACTCTTACATTCATATCTATAACTTTTTTTTTTATTTTAACCCTTAACAAAAGTGAAAAACTGATGTTGTATGCAGATTATGAGGCAAAGATCCTAAATGCGATAACACTTTGACTTTAGATTGACTCAAAGAAATGTAATAGCAGCCTGTTGAAACAAATTGATTACATTATGAAAACCTGGAATAATGCCAGATAATGGTCACCACAGGCTTTTCTTTACTTCAAAGGTTCAAAGAGGCTGTTCAAATGATCTATTAAATGCAACTTCATTTGCATGTATGGTTAAGCATAACCTGTAACAAAACGAAAAACAAATATCAATTTTGAACTGAACAAACCATAAAGCAAATGGAGACGACGGGCTGTTAGGTGTGTCAATCAAGACAGATGGGCGGAGCTTTACAGCAGAAGGGGGGGGGGGGGGGGGG